TACTTCTGAAAATGAACTAGTGCCATCTGTCGCAAACATGCGTCATGACTTTTCCAACGACCCAATACTGGAAGAGAAGACACCACGTGGTGGGTGAGGGTTTCCTCTCCTGAGCCATGTGGTGGTTTGCTAGCTCGCTTGCTTTTGTCAGTCATTTCCAGCATACCTCAGTATTTTCTCACTCAATATTAGAAAAAATGCTTTCCTGCAAATCCATCGGGTTTCTAATACATGTCCCCCTTTAATTCTTAAATTCATGCTTATCCTCTGAAAAGATGCTGCAGGTTCTTCATTTTAAATAAAAACCGACAGTGGTAAGAAAATACAATTTAACTATTGTTTTACGTTCACTCTGATGGCCTTGACATACCTGTTGGTCTAAACACAGCTCCCTGTTATACTTGTCCTTCCCCCACTTGTTTCTCTGTCTTGAAAGTTCTGAAAAATCCAGGTATTGAAATTCCTCAAATCATCTAGTTTTCTCAGTTTTACCCTGTTTTGTTTTGTTTTTCTCCTTCCAAAATCTTACGTTGACCTCAGGCAAGGACTTCTCCAAGAATAAAGTCCCTTTAAAAGGTGTTTAGTCACACTTAAAAAATACACACACACACACACAAAAACCTAACAAAGGCTTTATAATTCTCGGGAAATCGTGTTAGTTTAATGTGATATTTCACATGATGTTACATGTATTAGGGACATCTGAGGGGGGGAAAAACAAAACAAAAAAACCACCTCTGATACCTTTCTTGTTCAACTACCAAATGGCCGTTTTCCCCCTTTTGCCTCACTAATAAAACCCAGATTTTGCTCAAGCTCCTCCTAGTGGCCACATCCTTAAGGAAGCTGGAGCTGGAACTGGATGTTAAGCTTTCCCTTAAATGCAAGGATGCCACAGGGGCATGAGATGTAATTCTAGTCAATTAGATGTAAGGGAAAGTCTTCTGGAAGGCTTTGGAAAGTTTTCTTCACTCAAGAATGAAGCTGTGCCCTTTTCTTGCCTGTGGACATTGTCACCTACGTGGAATGCTAGAAAACATGGTTGCCACTTAAGTAACCATGATAGAAGAATCACTGACATAGTGGGGACCACAGGAAAAAGGGGGGAACAACAGTCTCATCCCTGAGTCATTGAATTAACCAACCCACAACTTCACTACAGTCAGACTTGTGTGAGATTATACATGTCCTCATCGTGTGCCACGATTACTGGGTGGTCGGGAAAGTCATGACACATTTTTGCATTGAAAATCGTAGAAAAATACGTCTTGACTTTCCCGACTACCCAATAGTTGGGTGTTCTGTTAACTGCAGTTGAGAGCAAAGCATCTTCTCGACATATCCTCTGTGGGTGAATAGACAGTGTTAAATTATTTTCCATTTCCACCGCTATTGCCTTTTACTTTTCTCCTCAGGGCACTCTCTTTGCCTCTCTTATCAGGTATCCCCCTAGTCTTTTAAATATTTGTTCATCAAATTTGAAAAGATGTTGTAAAATTGGATCATTTACTCCCAGAGAATAATTGTATGGTTGGAACAGCCCCCACTCCCACCCCCCACCCCCAGCAGCTCATAAGCTGTGGATGTGAGCATCTTTTCATATGTTTAAGGGTCATGTGCATGGTCGAACATGGCTCAGTGTACCATGTTCACATACTAACTAGCCAGCAAGCCGGACAACAAGAAGAAAGGGAGGCTGGCAGATTCTTTTCAAAAAACGTGACTCACAACAAGTCGTACGTCATTACTTTCATTTTCCATTAGTTTACAAGAGAAGCTAGGAAATGAAATTTCTAGTTGGGTGACCATGAGTCCCATGAATACTTGGAATGGGGGTGAGTGTTCTGTTACCAAAAGAAATAAAGGGTGAGTGGGTAGTGGGGACACTTAGTTTCTGCCACACCATCTCGTTTTAAGAAAAACCCAGTCATTAACAGCTCTGCATGATTTGTCCCATATTTCTGCTTTGTCCTCTGCTAATATTTTCCCTCTTACTGTTCTTGCTGTCTCCAAAAACCAAGCATCCTCTCTGTGGGTCCACTAGCTCTTTTCTCTGCCTGGAATACTCTTCTCCCAGAATCCGTGGCTCACTCTCTCATTTAGATTTCTGCTCAAAAGTGAGGCTTTCGTGCACATTGACACTAATTAACATCTCCCCTCCCCCACCCTTTCTTCTCCTTTGCTTTTCTTAGAATTTATCAACCTCTGACATAATAAACGTACTTTATCTTATTTAGTTCCTCATGTTTGCCCCTCCCTAGCAACCCTTTATAATGCTTAAATGCGCCAGACACTGACCTAAGTGTTTGTGTTTTCTATGTATTTAAACTGAATTAGTTCTCACAACAACCCTCTGGTTGACTATTGCCATGCTAGTGCTGCATGAAAAACCTCACCGCAGTTACAGAGCTTACAGCAATAATCCTTCCTTCTTGTTCTTGGATCTGTGGGTTGACTGAGGGTAGATTGATCTAGACCAGACTTAGCTGGACTTGCCTCTGAGCTACACATTGGGTCCAGGCTGGTTTCTTGCACTAGCAAGATAATGGGGGATGTTCTTCTCATGACAATGGCGGAGGCACAAGAGGTCAAGCCCCACCATGCAAGGACATTTCAAGCCTCTGTTTGTGTCATGTCTGCTGACAGGCCATTGAGCAAAGCCAGTCATATGGCTAAGCACAACTTCAAGGGAACAGAAAAATACACTTATCATGAAGGTCAAGGAGATCAATATTTACTGAAAAAAAAATCTGATCTGCCATTTTATTTTTCCTATTTCAGATGAGGAAACCGAGGCACCTAAATGCTAGGTAGCTGGCTGAGGTCGCATACACTTAGTACCTAATAGTAGTGGAATGCAAATCCAGTTGTATAGTACCAGTCTAGCCAGTATAAATCTAGCTTATACCAGTCATATGAAAGCAGGAACTTAGTTGGGGTTTTTTTTTTTCTGTTTTATTTCCAGCACCTAGAACCGTGCTTGGCACTTAGTCAGTATTCAGTGAATATTTGTGGATGCAAATAGATGAACTCAGCACAGTACATGGCACTTGTTGGTTGGTACTTGATAAATGTTAGCTATTTTATTAAGAAAAAGTATTCAAAATGTGGGAATAAGGTAAAGGAAAGGCAGCATGTCTTTTCAGTGTCACATTGAAACATTGTTTAACTGGTCCAGGGAAGGATTAATTATCTAGGGAAATGGACCTTTTTTGACTCATTATCTACTATTGATGACAGGCCCAAACTCGGTGAAGAAGTTTTATTTTTGTTCATTAAAGATGTAAATTATTTCTGAAACAAATTATTAAAAAAAATAAGATTATATTGCCCTAGAGGACACATTAAAAAGTATTGTATCTAACCTAGCAATCTTATTCCAACACTTTCTCCACTGCCTATAAATCTTTTTCTAATGCTCCTCAGAACTAAATTCACAATTTTCTTGGTTTCCTCAATGAGTTGAGTAAGTCTTTGCCATGTCTTCATTCTGTATTTTGAGTTACATATGTAACTTTTGGAAAATTGCAATATTATCTCATTTTTTCCTGCTGAATCTGGAAGTGGTTTTTCACTTTTGATTTAATACAACTCTTATTTACAGAGTTCCTGTTTCTCTGGGATTGGAGGATGCAAAGCTGGAATATGGGTTGGGTGGGGGGAGAAGAGAGGCTAAGTGTTGTAAGGTGTTTCCTGTGATTTTCAGACTTGCATACTAGCCGCTGGAGCTTCAGGGGTTGCAGCCTTGACAGCTAGAAGCCTTATAAAGGCTTTCCAGGATCCTGTGTTAATTCAAGATTCTGATCATGTAACTAGAAAAGCTTGTAGATGTCTACCAAAGACAACATCCTGAAAAGAAAAATTTTTGAAGCTCTGAATCTTGGTGGAAACGCCTACTTATCAATAACCAGTTATTATACGGATTATTGAGGGCAACGCTTTTTCATAGCGGGGGTTGGGGCTGAAGTTTTTACAGGCATACCTCAGAGATACTGCAGTTTTGGTTCCAAACCACCGCAGTAAAGCCAGTTGTACTCTCTGCTGGTGGAGTGTCTTGCCTTCCAGTTGTAAAAACCCCAACAGTTGTGAAGCGCAGTAAAGGGAGGTATGCCTGTATTTTGAAATGAACAATTAAACCAACTACAAAAACTTTGGTTCAAGGGCAACCCCACCGCACCCCCACCCCCACCAAAAAAAAAAAATCTGGCTACCTCAATCAGAATTTCCTTAGCAGATGCTATTAATAGACAATACTGAAATCCCATTTAAGTATCATGAGGACTGTCAACTAATCTGGAACTTTCTCCCTTCAACTTTTACTCTTGGATTGAATGCTGCTAATTCTATTTATTTCCTGAGCACTTTGGAGCCTACAAAGAGCGCTATGCATTCTCTTGTTGGGCGTACTGACATTCCAGCAAGTGGCAGGCCAGGGTCGGGATCAGGACTTGGAACACCTAAACCCTGCATTTCCACACCGAGGAAAGCTGGCTTGCAGGGCTAGCTCTTTTCTGGCAATATTCGGACATCCTTTGGCCAAGGCAATAAAAGACCAGTTCGGGGTCTGAATCCCAGTTCCCCTTTCTCCTTGTTCCTTAATCCCTTTGTAACTTCCTTTCCTTCCCTTACAAATAAATTGACCAGTCGGAGCCCTGCCTTTCTGGAAATCACGTGAAATAAGGTGAAGGATTTAGCACGGAGCTCGACCCAAGACGGTACTGCTTTACCACAGCAATAAATCAGTGCTGGCCTGTGATTTGTCCTCACTGGGAGCCCCACGGAGACGTCCAGGGGAGCGAGTAGCCGGAGGACAATGGAGGAGGGCCGCCGAGTGGCTCTGACCTGCCGAGGGCACTCCTCTCCCTCGTTGGGTTTGGGGCGCAGAGCGTGAAGGTCGCTCCACTCTGCGCTCCGCCCCCAGCGGGCCGGGGCGGGGACTCCGTCCCCTGGGAAACGGGACGCGCAGCTCATCCCGGGCCCGCACCTCCGCCTGCAGGGCTCGCAGTGCCCGCAGACTCGGCCTGCCAGGTAGCCGCGGTGGGCTAGAGCGGCCGCGCTCAGGGCGATCGCGGGAGGAGGCGGGAGCCCCCCGGGGCGCGCGTAAGAAGGGGCGTCCTCGCCCACCCGGGGCTGGGCAGGGGCGCGCGCGGAGCCGGCCCGCGCCGCGTCCCCTCGGACGTGCCCGATGGCAGCCCCGGTGGTGAGTCGGGAGGCGCGAGGCGTCCGGGAAGTCCCAACCCTTCGTCTAACTCCGGGCGCCAGCCTGGAGGCGGCGGGCGTGCTGGAGCTGGAGGCGGAGGAGGAGGAGGAGGAGGAGGAGGAGGAGGAGGCCGAGGCCGCCCGCAGAGCACGGAGCTTCGCTCAGGACGCGCGGGTGCGCTTCCTCGGCGTCCGCCTGGAGCAGTTGCTGGGGCTCCGGGCTGAGACTTGGAGCCAGTATTTGGAAAGCGAGGGCCACAGGCAAGTCCTGGGGGAGTTTCTGGAGGCCCCCAGCCCCGCCTGCCTGGTGTTCAGCGTCGCCGCCGCAGGGCGGCTTGCGGCCTCCAGAGAGGTAAGAAGCGACTGGCGAGGGGACCTGCGGCGCTCCCGCGGGGCATAGTGGATACTCGGGCGGGGACAGGCCAGTTGCGCCCCCTTGGGCAGGGCGGTGAGGGGGGCTCCGCGGGGCATGCACTCGGGCGCTTTAAGAAACTTTGAAGTCTGCCCTGGAGTAGGCAGCATCCCCCACGTGCGCCCACTCTGCAGTGAGGCAGCTGTGCGTAGTTTTCTCAAAGGTCAGCCTCCTAGCTTGCTGGTCCCGGGTAAAGCAGGACCATCAGAGCTTCCTTCAGCTGCGTGGGCTTAGACGCGGGGTGAGTCCAGATAGCTTCCCTTTCAGTCGCTTTGGGTCACTCTGGAGCCATATCCATAAAAAAATGTATTTGGCAGAGCCCAAACGACTGGTCATGGACTCTGTCTGACTGCCTGTTAGCCACAACTTCATCCCAGGAAAAACTACTTAGTCCTTAATTAAATACAAGCGCTGGGGAATCCGCGCAAACTCGGTGTTTACCAGCCTTTGAGGGGAGCAGTCCTTTCTTTCTTCCCTCCATTCCCCTTTTCTTTTCTCCTTTTTAAAAACTTCGACTGCTCGTCCACTTGAAGATTTTAACATCACCCACAAGTACAGCCCTGGCATTTAGTCTTTTTCAAGTGTGAAAAGTTTGGAGCAAGATTTACAATCTTTGGGTCGTACAGTGCCTCAGAGTAAAGTGTCACTGTCATCACTAGATGTGGTCGTTATAATAGTTGGGATGTAGGATCCCAGAGAAGAAAGAGAATAACAGGAGCTTGCCTTCGGGTTCTGTGAGTTTCGATTTTTTTTTTTTTTTGCTTTCCTAATTGTAACTAATTTTTTAAAAAATGTCTGTAGACAGGAGATAGAACACTTAATTTTAGTATATACCAGGTTTTGTTTCTCCTGCTAGCAACCCAGCCACAAGTTAGATACAGCAAATCCTACTTGTTAACATGGAAACTACATCGTGGACTTAAACTAATAACCTTGTTCTTGTTTCAGATTCCAAAAGATACAAAACATAAACTTGTTTATATTGCCAAGAAGATTACTGAAAGCACTGGAGTGAATGATTTCTCTCAAACGGTTTTATTTGGAGAGTTACCCACCTCATCTCTTGGCCATGTAACTGCTTTCCTAGATGAGGTACTAGTCTATCTTTAATATTTGAATCTTTCATTTATCTCTATGGTAGCTCAAGATGGCATATAAAACTTACTTGCCCTATCTGTCCTGGTTTCTCATAATCTTATGGAACCCCCGTATGTACATAGGTAAATAATATAGGCATTTGCCCATTAATCTGTCTCATTTTTTTAAATTAAAGTTTATTGGGGTGACAATGACAACCGTCAATTTTTTTAAAAAAATGTACAAGCCAGTAATTTCTTTAGCCAGGTGAATGGAGCGTGATAGCATTTAGACTGTTCCCGAAATGAGCTGAGACTGATGCTAATATTCAACAGGTGGTCATTTGTAGGCTCTTTTTCCTCTTTCTAAATAATGAAAGTAAATAAAAAGCTTGAATTGAATAGGCTCTTGTACTTAGCTGTCAGTTTTAAACTTCACATTCAGAGTAGAAACAAACTTACACTTTGGAAAGGGTTTTCGAAAAACCGGGTTTTCAGATTCCTGTTACTTTCTAAGTGTCACTCATGACAGATAGAGGGGGAAAAGTAATGGAAATTAAATGTTAGAAATGGTTGCCCTGAAAGTCCTCTTTTTCTCCCCTTAAATCAGAGAAATCCTTCCTAAACCAATGCTATTGGCACGTTACTGTGCATTAGAACCACCTGGGGATTTTGTTAAAGGCTGGCTGATTCAATAGGCCTGAAATGGGGCTGATAGCATTTCTAACCTGATGCTGAAGCTGTTTGTTCAAGGACCAGCTTGGAGGAACAGCATACTAAATGACCAGTTTCTGTGGGACCAGAGCAGTGGTTTTCAAACTTTGATGAACCTTAGAACCACCTAGGGAACTTTCTAACCTCCCCATGCCACACCTGAAATTAAGTCAATTTCTAGAGTCCCGTGGGAGCCAGGGGGCAGTAGTTGTTAAAGATTCCCCAGGTGATTCTCCTGTGCCCCAAACTTTGGGAACCGCTGGGTTAGATATCAGTAAATCAGATGTCCATAATCAATGCAGTCCTGACAAGGGCAAAGCTTAAGGTAGGAATAATTGCCAATATATTTATTACTAATGATCTCCCAATCTTTCACTTCTACTTCCTGAGTCTCTTTTGCTCTCTTTTTGAAAGGAGGTATTTTCTTGCTGTCTTTGGGTTCTCACCCCCAACTTCAGTACCTTACCTCAGTTTCCCTCCTGTGAAATTTACTTAGTTTTCGCTGATTTTAGGAGACACTAAGAAGAGAGTTTTCTGTGTTTTGTACCTGGAACAGTTTTGGGTATATAGCAGGTGTTCAAGAAATTTTTATTGCACTGAATCTGATGAAAGGATTTCACATGAAATGCGAGTGACTTTGGGTCATTCACATCAGACTGCCATGAGCTGGTCTTGGAAGGGCAAGGCAGCGTTCATCATGGGTGTTTTCGCTCTACCATCTGTGTCTGGTAACAAGGTGCAGAGTTCAAGTTCCTCTGACCTTTCTCTGAATTTATCTCAGTGCATATCACTATGAAAAAAGGTTTACATGAAAGAGAGTAAGCTGTTAATGAGTACATCTATAGAAGGTATAAAACCTCCAGAATCTCAGGAATTTAAGAGGTTTGGAGGATTCTCAATTATGCTCGAGGATATAAGTATTGGGAAGAAGAAAAAAAAGTGAAGACATCACCCTTACAGTGTCAGTGTCACTTGGGTTTATTTATGGACAAGGCTTAGATTCAGTGTGAATGAGGCCTTAACATATGGCTATAGATTTTTAGGTTAAAAGTTTCCAAGGATTGCCTCTGCTTAGTGTTCATTACAGCACACAGAACTGGCTGATTGACAGTGGTTTATGATGATGTGTAAGGTACTCCCAAACTTCTCTCTCTAGTCAAGGTCTCTCTCCCGAATTCCAGACTTGGAGATCCACCTGCTTTCCTGCCATTCCTACTTGATGTTTAATAGATATCTCAAACCTAACATGTCCAAAATTGAACTCCCAATCTGCCCCTCAACATTGTGTGTCCACATACGTTATTATTAGTAACTATGTTATATAATTATATTTAGCAAAAGTATTTAAAATGTCATGGAGTTATTTCTTTAATTATGTATTATATCGACCCAGATCTTGATAGAAACAATAATTGTGAATGCTGATCAAGCCAGAAAGGAAGTATGATTTGGTTCATGTAGTCAGTGTCTGGGCCCCATCCTTGGACATTGCAATTCAAGACGTCTGGGAGAGCCCAGGCTTCCGTGTTTTGTGTTTCTCAGTTAATAGTCTCTTCTGATTTAAGAAGCATTGTAAGAAGCAACTCTCCAGTTTAAAGAAAGGTTAAAAGAAAGAAGGTAAGAGGGCTGGCCAAGTGGCTCAGTTGGTTAAGAGCTCGCTCAAAAGTGTGACCTCTGAGCAACAGCGGTTCGAGTCCTGGCCTGAGCTGAGCTGCCAACAGGTGGCAGGATGGCTCAGCTAAAAAACAAACAAAAAAAAACCCAGGTAAGAGTACCACAGCAAAGGCACCATAACTCTTTTATCTATAGTTGTATATCTCTTAGTAACCATGTCCAAATTATTATTATTTATTGCTATTTTTATTGGGGAGCAGCCATGGTCATTGGGTACACATTGCTTTCATTCCACAATGGCATAGTTGACTCTTAAGGAGGGTGCAGCTCACAGTGGTCCATGCGGGGATCAAACCATCAACCCTGGTGTTATCAGCACGATGCTCTAACTGAGCTAACCGGTCACCCCATGTCCAAATTATTATTAATTAATTAATTTATTTATTTAAAAGATTTTTATTGGGGAATTGGGGAAGGGGAACAGACAAGTTGCTGTCATTTTATTCTTCAATCTAGTTGTGGAGGACGTTGCTTCACTGGCCCAAGTTGGCACCATCATTGTGCTCTTCGCGGGCGAGGCAGATCAGTCGCCGGCTTCTGGACGGCCACTCACGGTGGCTACTGCCCACTCATGCTGGCTGCTGGCTACACACGGTAGCCCATGGCAACCCACTGCCATAGGGGCTGCAGCCTACGCCGTCGCTGGCGACTCACGGCAGCCCAGCTCCAGGTTGAGCTGTTGTTCAGCATCTTAGCTGTAGAGGGCAGTGTCACTGGCCCTCATATGTGGGATCTGAACTGGAGCCCTCTGGCGTCCCAAGCCAGCTCTTAACCAACGCGCCCCTCGGCCGGCCCAATTTAGTTCTAATTTTGATGTGGTCATGAGAGGAGATGATCACAGCATTTACTACACTGCCATCTTACTGGAAGTCAGGTTTTTCTTACAAATTACAAAAACAAGACAAAAAATTCCCAACTAAAACATAACAAAACCTCCAATAGTTGAAATACTTTGTATATAGTTTAACAAGATTTATTGTAATTAAAAAACACATCCCAGGTCTATTTATTTTAAATGATGTTTATAGATACTCTAGCTGTGCAGAACATGTGGCATGTAGTTTTATCTACAGTTTGTGACACAAATATTTAATTTTAAAGAACGTTGGCCTCATCACAGAATAGTGAATAGAGTACAAGTTTGAAAAAGTACCCAGTAAATTAGAAATGTTGAGTAACCAGAGTTTTCCTCACATCTTTTATTTATTTATTTATTTATTTTAAGAAAAAGCTGTTGATATCACAGATTTATTATCGAAAGCAGTTTTCCAGTTGGTCAAGGCATGTTCAGGCCTACAAGCCTTAATTCTGCAGTCTGGTTTCCAAATCTCTTCATGACCCCCCTGCCTTTCTTGCAGCCATTCCTTTTAGGGGTCTGGCTCTAATGCCAGGCAGGCCAGACTAGCAGTTTACCAGAAGCACTCTACCTCTGGAGCCCTCAGCGATTTCCTGTGTTAGTGTTCAGTTTTCTGGAATGCCTGCCCTGACCTTCCATATCTTAAAGATTTCAACCAAGCAGTAACTTTCCTGGCAAGTCTTCCCTAAATACCACTCTCTCCCAGAATCAGGTGTTTCTCCTGTGATTACACATTCCATCCTGAATGCGCCTCTAATTATGGCAGTGCTTACATGGAGGGACCTAACCCGCTAAGCTCATGGAAGTCAGAGACTGTTTCTTACTCATCTCTGTATTTCTAGCTCGACATGTTGTGGGTGCTAAGTAGGAACAATGTAATAATAAAACAGTCTTTGGAAGGATGTGTTTCAACCCTATTAGAAAACCAAAGTGACTTTTCAGTTTGTTTTTAAGTAACTACAAGATTGTGTCATTAAAATAAGCTTTTAAAAGGTGGAATAACTTTTCTGAGCATTTACTAACGAATGGAAAGTATACAGTGTAATGCTGGTAAACTGGAAAGATTATATTAGAGAATGAAAAATGTTTAAAATTGGTAGATACTGGAAAGGAGTGGGACAGCAAGAAGAGGCCAATTTCATTCAACAAACTCTTATTAATTATTTAATATATACTGACCGGAAATAAAAATTTTTTGAGGGTTTTCGCGTGGTTTCATTGATGTACCCAATTTAATGGTGGAAGGAGTCCCAAAAAGGCCCATATGAGTAAATATCTTTCTATCAAACTTTAATCTACTGGGAGGCCACCCAGAGCTTGAGAAGATTAATTTACTCTTTCCTCCATGTGATTCAAAAATATTTTTTTCGTTAATATACCTGCCAATGTGCTCAGTTGGCGTTAAGAAAGCAGTTTACTTACTTGACATGATTTTGCTTATTTGATGCAGTGTTTGAGTTATTGAAAACCTCCACAAATGTTTGATAAGTTGGTAAATGAATGAACAAGCAGTAAATTATTTCCTCTTTGAAAGAATTCGTCTCATTACATATAAATAGGTCACTGGTTTTGTCATCTTTGTAAATTTGGTATCATAAGAGCATATTTATGAAATTGAGTGGTTTTGTTGCCGATTTTGTGTGACAAGAAAATCTTTGAAGAAGCACATTGTCTGTAAATTAACTGCTTTAAAAAATGTTTCTGTTTCTAGATTTTAGCGCCGATTCTTTCTAATAGGAGCAACCATAAATCCTGGTCCTATTTTATTTCACAAGACATGGAACGTCACATAGAAGTCATGAAAACTAAAATACATATTTTTAGGGGTAAAATGTTGAGAAGAACTCTTCTACCAATTCCCACTATTGCAGGAAAAATTGACTTGGATCAGAAATATCCAGAGACCAAGTACGTAATGATATGGTATATAAAGGATATTAAAGTGGAGAACCAACATACCCATTTAATATTATACCCCTAGCAAACTGTTAGCAAAATAGAGAATTATTATAACTACATCATATTTTTAAAATTACATGGCAAGCACCATGTGTCTGATTTCCTTTCAAAGTATGCTTTTTAAAAGCAGACTACAAAAAAGCAAGCTGTAACAATTACCATGATATCAACAATATTCTTTTAGTAAAATGGTTTTTGAAGATATGCTAATTCTTTAACAGCGTTTTTTAATGTTAGATGTATGCCAATGACAATAACAAGGTAACAACTCGAGACCATAAAAATAATAGATCTGATTTTAAAGTATTTATATTTAGAAAAGTAGTTTATGGATACATAAAATACCCCTTAAAATTCATGTTCTGTCTTTATTTGTTTGAAATGGTTTGTTTTTAAATTATTTCATCAAATCCTTTCTATGTTTGTAGGCTAGAGCCAAATGAAAGGACAATACTCCATGCAATTGAATCAGTGGTTATTAAATGGTCACATCAAATCCAAGAAATTGTAGAAAAAGACTCAGTGCAGCCTTTGCTGAATGGTCTTTACTCAAATCCTCAAGCTGAGCTGGGTTTCTGGACGATGAGAAGAGAGAATCTATCATGCATTTATGATCAAGTAAGTAGATAGCCCTAGAGATTGCTTGCAAATTGAATTAACAAAGTCATTTGTAGAACTTGGTCTCTAGAGCAGTGATTTACAATAACTCTAAAGATTTCAAATACTGTCTTTGAATGGCTTAACAGTTTGCTCTCTTTTCTTATTCCAAAGTGCTGTATGGTATGCACTTCAAAAACTAACGGGGATTAAAAGTAGTTTTGCCTTTTTGAGAATATTTTGACAGCATTTGAGATCATTGGAAATACTTTGTGGCATAGAAAAAAAAAAAAGAGTGGTTCCCTAGGGAAACATTGGAGATGATAAGATTTAATTGATTTAGTCCATTCGGTTGATTTGGGAAGGAATTGCTCAGTAAAGATACAGCTTGGGGAGAACTACCTTTGGTTCCTCTGCTGGGTGCTTGCCTTACAAATCACTCAGTGTTCTAAAAACCAAGGCATTTATTCATATGTTTACGTGCCTCTCAGAGATTTTCTGAAACAGAGTAAGAAATTTTATATGAAAATTTTAATATTTTACATATATATGAATATGTTAATTGATAGGCTTTTTGAAAATTCAAATTAAGAAAATATAAATGCAAAATAAAACACAAGTTTAAGGAAAAAAAGGAACTTTTAAAATTACTTTTGAGTTGAAATCAGATGTCTTTGAGGGTTAAATCCTGTGTATTGTGCGTGAGTGGAATATAATTTATATATTTTATTACAGAATACCTTTTTTTAGTAATTAATCTAGCTGATATTTAACTTTTTAAAAAAATTTAGCTTCAGGCTCCGATTGTCCGCAAAATGGTTAAGATCCTGAAAACTAAACAGAGCAGCTATTTCCCAACTTTGAAGGACATTTTCATGGCTGTGAAAAATGGTAAGACTCTTGTTCTTTGGCCTGATATCAGTATCCCTCACCCTTCTACTGTTAGCCTGGTCATGAAATGATTACCCATGGCTCTTCTAATGATGAATTCATCTTAATCATCTGTACTTTACTCTCCAGCTCTACAAAGCTGTTTTTAGGGTATGTAGTAGATACCTACCAAAATGGCTTCAGATTGAAGTTTTAATGAGAGTATGGAGGGGAAGGACCTTTTGGTTTTCAGAAGTGGGTAAATGAAAGCGTAGCTTAAAGGTTTTCATATCAACAGTTGGGCTACAATTATTCCAGTTATTCACCAGTAGAATCTCTGAAAGTATTTCACTTCCACCACTTATTTAGCTAATAAGAACTCCGTCATTATCAAAGTTTTGGTGAAGATTAAACATACAGAGGAGGGGAGGGTTTGTATGGTGAATTTTGAACAGGTAATTCACGCACGTTGTTAAAAACCAGAAATCATGAGAAGGTATCCAGTGAAAAGTCTCCTTGTCCTCTCACTATCCATTTTTAACCCCACCCAGGGGTAACTACCCTCCCCAGTTCCTGGATTTCTGTTCCTGTTTGTTTAAGCATGTTTAAGCAAATATGGATGTACATGATACTGAAGTTTTAAATGATAAAATTATAAGATAATATGGACAAATAGCTTGTGTTTGTTTCTAACATTAGAAAAATTTTAAGTTTTTTCTTGTGTAACATGTGGAAGGTTAGGAAATACTTAAAATCCAGTTTGAAAATGTTTTAATATCTCTTTAGGGTTTTCTCCATGAATTCTGTTTGAAAAGAGGCCATAAGATAAGAGGGACTATTTGGGCTTTGGGGTCTGTCAGATCAGGTTTCCTGTCCCAGATCTACTCACACCTTAAATTGGCTGAGCCTCTGGTTTTCATTGGCCAAACTAGCATAGCAACACCCTCCTTGCAGAATCGTTGTGAGGATTAGAGCAATAGTTCTCACCCTTACCACCACTGACATTTTGGGCAGGATAATTCTATGTTGTGGGGCGCCATCCTGTGCATTGCAGGATGTTTAGCGGCATCCCAGGCTTCTGCCCACCCCCGACCCCGTCCCAATTGTGACAATCAAGAATGTCTTGAGACATTGTCGGATGACCCCTGGGAGGAAAACCTCCCCTGGCTGAGAACCACTGGATTGAAGATACAGTGTACAAAGTACTAGGCACATAGTAAAGTGTGCCCTCAGTAAAGAGAAGATGTTGGCGTTTTTTCTGTGTTAGTATAAGATGAATGTTTTCTGTGGATGAAGTGTCTACAAGAACCAGCCTCAGGGGTCGTCAGAGCCTTATGAGCACATGGCCTGAAGATTCAGAAGCAACAACTTCAGCAGAACAAAGCCATTGTCAGTTAAAGGTAGAAGGCCCCCTCAAAGACATATTTGGGGCCCTGAAGAATCATCAGATGTGCTTATCCAATTTTTTTTTTTCTTAAAGAATTTATTGGGGAATCGGGAGGGGAACAGACAAGTTTCTGTCCTTTTTGTTCTTCAGTCTAGTTGTGGAGGACGTCGCTTCACTGGCCCATGTTGATATTATCATTGCGCTCTTCCCCGGTGAGGCAGTCATGGCCACTCACAGTAGCTCACGGCAGCCCACTGCAGCAGGGGCTGCAGCCTACACTGTTACCATCTTAGCTGTAGAGGGCGCAGCATCACTGGCCCTCATGTGGGATCTGAATTGGGGCCCCACTACTCAGAGCTGGCGTCCCAAGCCAGCTCTTAACCAACGTGCCACTAGGCTGGCCCTGTGCTTATCCATTTTTAATGGCACTTCACCTAGTAGATGCAGTTATTTAATTGTATTAGTATTGATAAAAACACACTAACTTCAAAACATGAGCGCACCTAGGGGAGAAAATAGTTCCAGAACCCTCTCTGTCTTCCCAGGTCTTCATTATTAGGTGGACAGATTAATCGGTTACGTATCAAGTAGAGTAACATGGATGGGTGCCTATCTGGCTCCGGCAGCCCAGAAAAGATTCTGCAGGTGTGCTTTATTTCAGTTTTGTTTTATTTTTTCTAAGAGGAGTCTTTTGGTATAAGCCCTGAAAATAAGAACTTACTTTACTCTCTACCTTCATAAATAAAGCCCATTTTCAGTTAATCAAAGGTGTTCGTAGCCTCAGGAGCAAAATGGAGTCTGATGGAAATCCATTTAGGGCACATTAAAAGGGCAAATTTTAATCAAGAGAAAATTTGGATTAGATTGAGCAGTAATAATAAATTATTAAAATTTTTCTTTACATGTATATATAAATTTTAAAATAAATAATAAAATAAATAGCATTTTAAAAAGTATTTCTTACTCTTACCATGTTTAACAGATTTTTCAATTGAGGTAAAATTTATGTAACACAAAAATAACCATTTTAAAGTGTACAGTTGGGTGGCATTTAGTACATTCACAGTGTTGTACAACCATCACCTCGATTTAGTTCCAAAATGTGATACATAGGTGATGTATTACAGAATTGTTTACCTGAAACCTATGTAACTTTACTAACCATTGTCACCCCAATAAACTTTAATTAAAACAAAACAAAACAACCAAAGTATTTTCATCACCCCATGCTTAACAATTTAAAAAGTTACATTTTGATTAATAATACAGTAGAAAATTTCCCAGTCATTGCATGACTTCCCCTCAGAGGACTCTGGAATGATTAAATTTTGCTAGTCCAAGTACCTACGAGGAATTAACATTCTGATGATGAAGCTTGTAATCCAAACCATGAAGTGACAGCCACTTCAAAGAGATATTTTATTCTCGTAGGTTCCATGGGGTTGAGTCAATTTCTTTAGACTGTAAGGGTATTGTCCCACTGAGTATTCAGTCACCAGTTGCTTGTGCTCTGTGAGTAAGTACACCGGGGTTCTCCCGAATGGCTGTTACAGACGGACAGTGCAGAAAGCCTCCCAAATCTGTCATGTGTCAATGGTGGGATAAGTGATACAAAAAGAAATAAGCAACGTTTAAGTACAGTTATGGTGTTTTTGCATTGTGACTTGAGAAAAGAGAGACGTTACCGGTGGTTTTCTTTCCCTTCAGCCCTCCTAGAAGCCCAAGATGTGGAACTTTACCTGAGGCCCCTGAGGAGACACATTCAGCGTCTCCAGGAGACAGAATTCCCACAGACTGGTGTATTAATCGCCCCGTTATTTCATACCATCTGTCTGATCTGGAGTCATTCTAAGTTTTATAACACCCCTGCTCGGGTTATAGTTTTATTGCAAGAATTCTGTAATCTCCTCATTGACCAGGTATGTAGCAATAAGACATAGGAACTGTAAGGATCATTGCCAAGGGGTAGGTTTTATTTTATTAGATCAATGAATGAATAAATACAATCTACAGTCAGAACACCATTTTTCTTTCTTTTTTTAGAAAGGACTTTTATGGTAACAAGGGCCAAGTGACTTTTTATCCTAAATGGAAATTAAATACACAGGACAGGTTGTTACTAGATTTTCTTTGTTTAATATTCTACCTTTCTTCAAAGAAATTTAAGACAGTTTCTACTAAAAGGCAGACATGCACAGCACTTTGTAGCTTTCCTTTAGGTTTCCACAGGAACATTGGCTGGTGGACATCTTTTGGAAAGTAAAGTAAGTTAAGAGAATCTGGCTGGAAAAAAATTATCCTCACAAAATACTAGTGGAATTGTATCTGATTCATTGTTGATCTTTAAAAGTCTCTCATTTATAATTATTTATTCAGTCAACTTGCAAAATGTTTTAAAAAAAATTGGACTGCTTCCACATCCTTTCTCAGTCAATGTTCATTCTTCTTGTGTTCATAATATCAGAATATTATATAATTTGAGAACTAAAAGATACTTGGAGGGCACATAATGCAGTGGTTTTTGGGGGTCAGGGCATCGTAGTCTGCTTGAGCTGCCATAACAAAATATAGACTGGGTGGCTTTAGTTTCAGAAGTTTTTTATTCATAGTTTCGGAGGCTGGGAGCCCAGATCAAGGTGCCAGCTTGGTCATGATCTGTTGAGAGCTCTCTTCCTGGCTTGCAGATGGCTGCCTTGTCTCTGTCCTCACATGGTGGACAGATCTGTCTCTTTTTTTCTTATAAAGCCACAGCCCTATCAGATTAGCATTCCACCCATATGACCTCATTTAATTACCCCCTAAAGACCCTATCTCCAGATCCAGTCACATTGGTGGTTAGGGCTTACATATAGGAATTTTGGGGGACACAATTCAGTCCATAGCGGGGTGTGTGTTTGAACCACTAAGGAGTTTTTATAAAACAAATGCCAGAGAATCAGAGTCTGTGTATATGGCTTAGCCTTTGAGGTCTTTTATTTATTTATTTATTTTTAAAGATTTTTATTGGGGAATTGTGGGGAGGGAACAGCGCTGGGGAATTGGGGGATGGGGAACAGACAAGTTGCTGTTGTTTTGTTCTTCAGTCTAGTTGTGGAGGATGTTGCTTCACTGGCTCAAGTTGGCGCCATCATTGTGCTCTTTCTGGGGGAGGCAGATCAGTCACC